CCAACGAGCTGGGAAGCCAAGGCACAGAGACCCCAGATCTGCTCCCCACGAACCGCGGGGCAACACCCGTCCCCCCCGGCATCGCCCCAACGCAATGCCGAAGCCCCTTGCAGTGACCCAGGAGCTCTCCCGGTGAAGGGGACAGGGGACAGCAGGAGCCATCTCACCTCGCCCGCCGGATGAACTGTGCCGCCTCCTCGGCGTAGCGCGCTGCCAGGCTGCTGAGGTTGACGGGCTGTTGGACGATGGTGACGTTCTCAAAGAGAGGAAGGGCAACCTCGGTGTAACAGTCCTTCCTCGCCACCCTGCCGGGAAGAAGCCACCCCACGGTCATCCCCAGAGCGGGGACCAGTGCGGGAGCGGGCACAAAGCCCGGCTGTTCTCCTGGCTTTGCGGAAAGTCGAGGAGGGGAGAAGAAAGGGGACGATGCCAATGTCCACATGGCACAGGGTGCTCCAGGGACCGACTCACCTCCCCAACCTGCACCCTGCTGCGGGGTGCACAGGGGGAAACTGGGTGCATGGAGCATAAGGAGAGGTGACCATAGCAAAGGGCAGCTCTTGGGGCTGGGGACACTGGTGGAAATACCCACCTCCCAGTGCTGGCACTCAGACCCCCCACGTGCCCCCATACCTGGCAGCTGCGCCGTGCCGCGGGCAGGGCGGGCAGGGGGGCAGGTTGTATCCGGGGGTGTCCGTGCAGCCCATGTCGTGGCTGTAGGGGATCCCAAAGTAGTAGTCGAAGCCTGAGGGGCAAGCGAGGGTGTCGGTGGGGACAAGGCGACCAGGGGATGCCCGACTCGTCCCCGCTGGCACAGCCCTTACCGCGGAAGCTGGGGTGATGGTGGCCGTGGTGTCCCAGGTGCCACTTGCCTGCGTGGAAGCCACAGAAGATCATTTCAGAGGTTAACACAGCTACGGCTGGGGATCACCCCCGAGGTGCCGGCAGCGCTGGGGGCCTTAATCTAGCAACAAGAAAGGCTACTTGTTTGTGCTGGCCGCTTTTCCAGAATGCCTTCTTTTTTTGCAGAAACCCAGAAAAAAAGCCATAAGGTATCTCGTGCCTGTGCAAACTGTTTGCAGTCTTAAAAGGCCCTTTCATGTGTTTGTGTTCAGAGGAGATGACTTTCTAACCCCTCCCAAACAACCGGCTTCATCCGCTGACCTCGGCACACGCTTGCTCCCACCGAATGCGCCGATCCAAGAGGGAGAACTGCAGAAACTATGGGGAAAAGGAGAAACCAAGGGCTTTTCTGCCAGCGCGACGTGCGCAAGCAACAGGAGCTGCAGGCGCCAAGGGCTCGCTACCAGCTGGGGCTCGCCCAGGCCGGGGGGGCAGGGTGACAGGAGGGTGCCCAAAGCCACGGGGCCGGCGGCACCGACCACGCTGGCACCGCGCTGCCAGCCAGCCCCAGTGCCATCACACCGGGATGCGTGGGATGGAGGAGTGCAGAGCTGCTGTGCACGGTCGTGTTGGCTAAGGAAAAGCCGGTGCATTCCTTGTAAGGAGCAATTAGAGCTTAAATGGAGAACTGGGGAGGACCTGAATTTCAGGTAATATCATATGTCTGAAAATGAAGATTTTAAGCTCGGGATTGCAAAATCCAAGGGGGATGTGCAAAATCTCTCCCAAGTGATCCTTTATCCTTTCCTTTAATTGCCAGCATTTCACTTAATGACCTGCAGTACCTCCTCTGCAAGGGACAGACCTGGGCATCTTCGTCCCCCGCGCCGCCATCTCCCCGCCCCACCCCCCCCCTCGGCACGGCAGGCGTTACCTATAGCCCCCGTGCTGTACCCAGCCTCCCGCAGGACCTCAGCCAGGGTGGTCTCGTTCAGGGGGAGGCCGCCGACCGACGTGACGGCGAAGTTGTGGGTCACCCCATTGCGTGCGCCAAGGCGCCCCGTGAGCAGAGAGGC